GATTAAACTTCCGGTCAAATTCCCTGACCAGTTTCTGAATCCAAGGTATTTTTTGACACTCTAACTTAGTATTAGTTCTTTTTTCAATAAGTAATCTATCCATCCATCTATCCATTCATCCACCCATTCACCTATCTATCGATCTATCTATCCATTTATTCATTTATCGATCCATCCATCCATCCATCTATCCGTCAGAGAGAAGCAGATGTATTTAGAAAGGAGGATGAACATGGAGAACATGCAGAACAAGATGCAGCCTGGCACTCACGGAGATGAAGGTCACGATGATGATGATGGTGGTGATGATGGTGATGATGATAGCGATGATGATGGTGATGGCGATGCTGTTGATGATGTTGCAACTGCCTGTGGCATTGAAAATCACGATTAAGATAAAAATTTAGAAAAATAACTTAAAGTTATGATAATTTTTATAAAATAAAAACATGTAACGTATAAATACCAACCAATGATAACAGTGCTATTTGCAACAACCACAACAACAACGAAACCATAACTACTACAACAGCCAAAACAACAGCCACAATAAAATATTTTTACCACCAACTAACACAGGTGACTACTTACCAGACAAGCGTCTATTCAATAAGATGGGGCTGAAGTTTGGTGGGGCTGCAGATGGAATGGGGAGAGGCGGCTTCCATGGCGCAAAGAGAGGAAAGTTGCCCTTTAATTTATTTAAAAAGACTAAATCTTCCCGGGATCCGTCACCTCTTGGGAGCCAGGAGTATCCACACGGATCACTTCCGGTTAGTCTACTGCCTGATGAATCTGATTGCGTGATATTATAACTAACTAGATGGCTAATAGAAGATTAAATAGATAAATTAAAAAATTTTTGTCTGAAGGTTTTTAAGGCTTGTCTGGTAAGTAGTCAGTCACATGTGTTAGTTGGGTGTGAAATGGTTAAGTTCAATACCAAGTGTTAAAATGGTATTGACTGAATAAATATTTGACTGATTAAATATTTTTTTTTCTTTATAAAATTAGTTGGTCAATGTAACTGAAAGTTTGATTTTATCAAAAAGGGTATGAGTGCTTCGGAATATTCTGTCGAATCGGAAGATGTGGACAGTGTGGGCCCCTACCCACCGTCGTCCACCTCATCATCTCACCCCAACGCCAGAGGACCTTCCGTTTCTCAGGGCGTCGGTGGAGGGGTGAGGATGAGGAAGAAGAGAGACAGCCAGGGCTCATTCGGCAGTGATGCCATGGAGTCTGAATCTGATTACAGAGACCTCGAGGCCCATATGGACGTCATTGATGAATATTATTACGGAGTGAGGGTTTTTCCAGGGCAAGACCCCTCCCAAGTTTATGTGGGCTGGGTTAGCCCCCACTTTTACACCCACAGTAGGACGTTTGATATGAAAAGTATGAGGAATGTTGTGGTCACTACCATTGACGTGGAAAATCAAATCAACACCAGGTAGGTACTACTTCATCGATGATTCATTTCCATATTAATTAACGATTCATTTCATTCTTTGTTTAATTAGCGTATTAATTATTTAATTAATTAATAGCTAATTTATTAACCAGCGTCATACGCAAGAACTGTTACATGGTGTCGGCTGGTGATCTCCATAACAGGTTGGCAACATTATAATCAAGTGTAACAAATTTTATAACGAGAAGATTTTTTTTATTTATAATAAGAAACAAAATAATTTTAAAGAAATAATAATTTTGATGATTATAATAAAATTATAACGCAAATAATTTCTGACGACCTCTTCAGATATAGCCACCAGGAAGATTCAGGTAAAAAGGCAGGACCAGGCCTTCTGATTGGCTGTCACATCGACGTATCAAGTGGCTTGCTGAGTTTTACTGTCAATGGACAAGAGGCTGCTAATAAATTTCAAGTAATGCTATTTGTTGATTGGTTTAAATTCAACGATTCGATTAGTTTTGAATAACTAACGAATATTTTTTGAAATAAATAAATAAAAATTCGTCAGGTTGAACCAAACGCCATGTTGTTTCCCGCTGTCTTCTTCGAGCCAACCAACAAAGAGGTCCTCCAGGTCGAACTCGGAAGAACTAAAGTAATGATCAAATTAATTGTATAATATTTTATAAAGAAAATAATTTAAAAATTTGCAACTAACTTCATGCAAATATTTTCAAGTAATTCCAAAACGAAACGAAATTTTCTACCGTAATAAAAATTCCAAATGAAATAATGTCACAGAGTTGACCATAGCATACATAAACTCATCACCCCAATAACTAACCAATCAACCGTTGCAACACAGCTAGCCCTACCGCTATCTTCCATCTTGTTTCGCGGGGGCAAACACGTCGTACCTCAGTGCCCGCCCAGGTTGGATTTCCAATGGCTCAAGACCTACCAGTGGTCCAGGTGTCCACTCAGTTCCAACAAGGTTCACGTGCTGAAATTGTCTGATGTTAGAGGCTGGAGTATGCTCATTGAGGATGCAGGTCAGTGAGGGGCGGGGAGGGGAGGCTGCTGATTGGATGATGTGGTGATCTCATGATGTGGCGAGGAAACGTTGAAGTGATTTTGTGGGGATGTTGTAATGGGGTGACGAGAAGAGGTGGTTACGCCATTTTAACTGCATTTGTTATATTTTTGAATTTTTTTTTCTAAACGTTTTCACGAGATTGTTTGCAAATATTTCCACGTTTTTGTCATTTTGTTGCCATTAATAATATTTTTCTCCATCGCCAACGCAGACCAGATGATGGCGCTACATATCCCGGAAGAAGATAGATGTCTGGATATCCTGGAACTCAAGGAACATCCTGATTTGTTGAAGTAAGACGGATGAATTGATGAATGAATGAATAGATGAAGGAACGAAAGAAGGAACGAATGAATACGAAAACGAAATCATCATTAATCTTCAACTTCGTCGAGATCCTCACTTCCATTTTTATGACGACCGCGACAGCTTCCACATGCACACACTTGATCTGTACCACGCCGTATGCTCGCACGGCAACCACAGAGCTGCACACGAACTGACTCAACACGTCAACGAGAGGCAGCTGATGTTTTGCATCAAGAGCAAATGTTTGTAGTTTTGCATAGTTTATTAACATAAAGTTGATGAGATGGGATGAGAAATTAATCAGTTACATATTCAAAATGCTCTTACAGACATGCCTGGCGAATTAAGAATGGGCTTTCACAACTTGCTGATTTCACTGCATCTGGATTCCTACGCTAAAACGAAGTGAATACGACCTTAATTATGCACCCCACACAAAATTTAAACTCACACGCAAACTGTACATAACCACAATCATCTACACACACGCGCAGACTTTTAACTAAACCGCACAAACACCCACCGCAGGCTGATGACGCAGAAAGAATTCATCGTGCCCCTAGCCTTCGCTCACAAGGCCCTTCAACTCTTCAACAAGAGTTACGAACATCAGCTTCAGCAGCTGTTGCAGCAGCAAAACTTCGCCTACCTCAGCCACCAGCAGCAGCAGGAACTTCTGCTGCAGTATCAACATCTGGCTCGCATGAGAGAGAGCATACCTTCGTTGGAACAGAGCGTTTCCATCAGGCCCAAGATTGTACTTGTCGATCAGAAGTTAGATCGGGGTGATGGCTTTTGGTGTGTTGGTGTGATGGTGTTTGGTTACACTGGCTTGGTTCTTGTGTATTTATATCTTCATTTTCAAATTCTTCAACTGAAAATTTTTTTTAAAAAGTAACAGTCCTAAAATGATTTTTATTTACAAACTTTATATTACACTTTTTCACTAAATATTTTTCACTTCACTTTTTGTTCTAATGTTCAATTTTCATCTTTTCAGACCAGCATCTCCAACCTCAACAGCGGCAACATCGGCAGCGACGGCCTCATTATCGGCCACACAATCACCCCAAGCATCCAATCAGCCATCTGGTGGTCTGACAATGGCTCTCCCAGCCACCACACCATCCTCAACACCTGCCGCCACGTCCAGCCCTTACTTTCCTCTCAATCTCCTGAAACAGTGTATGATGGAACTGCTGACGGAAGCTGTTCAAAAAGGTTTCGTTGATTGAATGATTGATTTATTTTATGATTGATTGATTTAATAGTCGATTGATTAATTGATTAGTAGAGTGATTAGTTTGGTGTTGTCATGCTCATTTAATTGATTATTTAGTGCATTTTGTGCTCATTAAATAGATTATTAGATGGGTTATATAGCGATAGGATTAAATTATATTTTGACTTGAAGGGAGTTTTTTGTAAAGTTAACGAGACGGTTAAATGATTGAAACATTCTTCTTCTTGAATTGATTAAATGATTGCATACTTATTGATTGCATGATTGACATATTTATTCGAAATACAATCTCCTCGATTGATTGGTTGAAAATTTCAGGGGCGGGCCACATTAGGGATCCAATTGGCGGGAGCAATGAAAACCATTTTGTGTCAGTGGATTTATTTTTCGCTTGTAATATCTTATAGTCTTTTGTGTGTATGTGTATGTGTGTATGTGTGTGTGTGTGTGTGTGTGTGTGTGTGTGTGTGTGTGTTGTTGATGTTTTCTAAAGGGAAAATTAATTCATAATTTACAATATTTTGTGGTCAGACCACTGATAAAAGTGGTGGACAACTTGTTGGTCATCGGTTTGTTGGACGATAACGATATCAATCAGCTCCTCTATCTTATAGACCCCCAAAATTTCTATATGAAACAAAGCCAAGGTTGTTTTGGTCTGTGTTTGATTTAATGGTTGATTAATCGATTTGGTGAGGGGTTGATTCATTAATTGATTATTTAATTAGTTTTTTATTTATCGGCCAATTTAAATATTAATACCTAATTGATTTCTGAACTAATTTTATATCTTTAATTAATGGAATAGCTTGCTTATTTTAATAAAAATTATCTCAAGACAATTTACCTTGCTATTATTGTTCAAATTATATATCTGATATTTACTATTTCATTATTAACACGATTCAAATTATTTCTAATTGATTAATTAATTAATTAAATTAATCCTAATTGAATGTAAAAACTTTGGAAGTTTTAATAACAAATATTTTCCATCAACACCAGATGAGGTTATCGACATCAACAAAAATTCCACGACAAGTAAGAATTTTAGTCACGTTTAATTAAAGTCGGAGATCTCGCCTGTTTAAAATTGTTTTTATTTTACCAATTTTGTAAACCTTACAACAACCACTACCAAATTATATATATATATATATATATATAGAATTTATATATGTATATATATACATATATATATATGTATATATATATATATATATATATACATATATATATATATGTATATATATACATATATAAATTCTACCGAACATTCGGTAGAATTTATAGAATATTGAATTTGGATTAGTGTATATATTAAAATAGACCTGTTATGAATAACTGCCATATTATTCACATATACGTGTGTGACTTTACATATTTTTAAATAATTTTTGATTATTAACAATGAAAATTATTTTTTAATTAAATATAATGAAACTAAAAAATAATAAAAGCGAAATTATTGATATTATAGCTAAGAAATATGGCTTGATTCAGATAAAACTGTCTGAACCGGTTAAACTAGAGGTAACTTTCGTCATGATGATGATGATGGAAAATTGAATGATTGAATGAACGAACGAATGAATGTAATTTATGAGTGAATGAACAATCGAAGGAAGTGATAAATATGAAGAACACACGTAAACGATTTGAAAACCGTTGCTAGCATCATCACTACCATCATTATTATTATCTTCCATCATTATCATCATCTTAATCATTATCATAATTACCTTGACCTTGACAGTTGTGCACTCTTCTTCATCACTTGTGTGACCTTCAGTTACGTCATCGTATCGAAGCCCTTATCTCATTTTCAGAACATTTTGTTGGCGGTTGTCAGATGGTCGGTAGTTGATTTGTTTTTTTTTTTTTTTTGTTCGATGACTGATTTGAAAATTTGTTAATTAGTTAATGGAAGCTTTAGTCTTTATAAATAACACATAAAGAATAATTATAAAGAATAATTTAAAAGAAGATTGTGTATTTGATAAGTACAGGTATATGTATTAGTCTTCAATTAAAATTCTATTGTTAACCTGTTAATTTCTTTTGTTGTCGGCATCCTTCATGACTATGATTGATAAATAGATAAATTTAAACAGAACTAATTATATAATTTCATATATTCCAGTTTCCTTAAATGATTTCATCATTCAAACTTCTGTTTAAGTCTAACTATCGACCTACCAACCTACCTACTAAACAGGAACAGAAACAGCGCTACATCGACATCAAGCAGACCGACATGCCCATGGCGGTCGCTGCCAAGAGAACCCGAGAGTTCAGATGTCCGCCCCAAGAACAAGTCATCATTCGGAATTCCAATTTCAATATTTTGTTTCTATCCTTTCAGCTAAATTGAATTCGATGAATTTACGATGGGCCAAAGTCATTGAGACGTACGTTGAAGCTGGAAAGCATGCTATAACAAACAAACAAACTGCAACCATTACAGATGCGGACGCTCCTGTCATGCAAGGAAGAGTCAGATGACTGCCAGAGTCCCATGGGAGACGACCTCAAAGAGAGACTCTTCGAATTCCATCAGGAACTCCTACGCCACTGCAACCACAACCCGCCAGAAGACGAGGAGGCTGAGAGTAAGAAGGCCACCCAGGTGCAGGCAGAGGTGGAGACAAACAAGTCCATCCTGGAAAAGGTGTATAACTACATCACCAACAAGGCACCACCCGCACCTCCCCCTCCTCCGAGTCTCGGTCCAGGTCGGTCCACTGTCTGATACATTATATAAACATTATCAAATCAGCTTTTTGAATTTGTATAAAGTTTTTTTTCTACAACAAATCATCATTAAGCGTAAAACGTAATTCCTCTGCAGACAACATTCAGCAGCTGATCACAAGCACGGTCATCTCGTGGGCGAAGACAAACATCGTGGACCAGGAACTGATCAGAGCCATGTTCAGCCTCCTACACAGACAGTACGATGGCGTCTCAGAGGTTGGAAGTCAAACAAAGTTTTTGAATGCTTGAGCGTGCTTGTGTGTGTATGTTTTTACGGCTGTTTGTTGGGTGCTTCTGATGAAGTTTTATCGCTGATATTTTTTCATTAAATTTGTTTTGGGTAGATAAAATGACTTTCATGTTTCTATCATCGTATATCATCGCGTATCATTATGTATCATCTCGTATCGCAATATATCATCATGTATCATCGCGTATCACAATGTATCATCATGTATTATTGTGTATCACAATGTATCATCATGTATCATCTCGTATCGCAATATATCATCATGCATCATCGCGTATCACAATGTATCATCATGTATTATTGTGTATCACAATGTATCATCATGTATCATCGCGTATCACAATGTATCATCATGTATTTTTATGTATCATTAACAAGTTCTCATGAACGTTGGTACGAACAGATGATTCGCTCTCTAGAGAAGACGTACGTAATCAGTGAGAAGAGTCGAGAGGACATCAACAACTTGAACAAGAGTCTCGGTCTGGTCAGGTCACTTCTGATGGTTCAGGTAGCACCAGAAGAAGAAGAACAACTCAAATCCTGCATCTGGTTAGTTTTCATGAAGATCAAATTATGCACAAACCAGCATATAACTTTACCGTATCAGATAAATTGTTCAACCTACACTTAAACTTCAAGTTAAAGAAATGTATTTAATTTTCAAACGCACGCAGGAACCTAGCAGACAACAAAGTATTTTTCCAGCATCCAGATCTAATGAGGTCCTTGGGCATCCACGAAACAGTCATGCAGTTGATGATCAACACGCTGAACAAGGCGCAACAACAGTCAGCTGCTTCTGAGTCTGATGTCGCCACTGGCACTGCGGCACAACTGACTGCTGAAGCTGAACCTCCGAAGGTAAAGACGATGATACGGTGATAACAAAATGATGATTAGGATATTGACCATGTTGGTAATGGAAAGATAACGATAGACTCGATGTAATTAATTGTAATGAAAAGCCCAGAAATATGCGAGGCGTTATAAAATTATAGAAACGCAATGCAATGCAATATGGTGATTAATTTAAAAAACAATTGTCAAATAACGAAATGATGACAATCAAATGATGATTTCAATGGATGATGGTTGACTAATGAAATGATTAAATGATGGCGATCGCTTTATTGTCGCCACCACAACCACGGCGCAGGACACATCGGCGGAGATGGTGGTGGCTTGCTGTCGCTTCCTCTGTTACTTCTGCAGGACAGGCCGAGTCAACCAGAGAGCCATGTTTGAACATCTGGCTTATTTACTGGACAACAGTTGCATGCTTTTGTGTTAGTTGTCACGTGTTGACGATGTTGATGGTAGTCTTGGTGGTTGCAACTACATTATTCAATTATTCCATAATGAAAATATAATGATGATATGGAGAACAATGGTGATTGTGATATTCTTTGTCACTTTTTATCACCATTACGATCCTCATCATCATTATAATCATCACAAACAAACAACCACCATCAATCAGCCCGGCCCTCCCTGCGTGGTTCCTGTCCTCTGGACGTGGCCTACTCATCCCTCATGGACAACAATGAACTCTCCCTGGCTCTCAGGGAGTCTGACCTCGATAAGGTGGCAGTCTATTTGTCCAGGTTGGTTGGTCGGTCGGCTGGTTGGTTTGATAATTTTATTAGTTGGCTGGTTAATTCTTTTTTGAAAAATCATTTCTGAAATATTTAAATGATTTTTTCGTACTATTAAAAATTTTAAATTACGTGTAGTAAATTTAACATTTTGAATTTTACAAATTTTTCAGTTACGAAAACAGTCTTTTCATTTAAAAGATATACATTTTTAGCACGAAACATATAACTTATTTGTATTTTTACACATAACGAACATTCAATTCATTATTAAGATATTTAGGAAAGAAACACATATTTGAACTATTCATTAATTGTTAACAATAACAACAAATTCTTCAGGTGCGGCCAACAGAGCAATCAAAAATTGGTGGCCAATGGATATCCCGATCTTGGCTGGGACCCGGTCGAAGGCGAGAGATTCCTCGATTTCTTGAGGTTCTGTGTGTGGGTCAATGGTGAGTTTTAATTAGAGGTATTCCAAATTTTTAATTTAAATATTACACTAAACCCAAATTTTATATATCTCAAAAACAGTATGTAAATTTAAAAGTTACAAACGTTATAAGCCAATTTTTTACTAGGCTTAAAAACTAAAAAAATTATTCAAACATGTAAATACAAAAACACTTTTCCAAGGCGAAAGTGTCGAAGAAAACGCCAACTTGGTGGTCCGTCTGTTGATCAGGAGGCCTGAATGTCTTGGGCCAGCCCTCCGTGGGGAGGGTGGGGGTCTCTTGAAGGCCATGCACAACAGCATCATCATGTCACTGCAGATTGCGGCTGCCAAAAATCCAAATGCCATTCAGTTTATTCGGGCCGTTTCTGAGTCTGAAGATGACGATAGGGGCAATTATTTGTATCAGAGGTTGGTCCAGTTGCCAAGTTTTGTTCAATTGCTTGGTAATTAATTGGTATACACGTGTAGCGTGTCACAAAATTAAATTCATCTTTTTGTTTTTATGTAACAGTTTTGTCGTGCTTGTGTTTGAATGTTTTATGAAACAATGACGCCTTATAGACAGCCGTCATAATTATTTATTAACCATTCGAACTTGACCACCATCGCCACCATCGCCGCCACTGCAGCAAGTACGACTTCTCCACACTGCCACCTGAGGATGATGAGGATTACATCGACATAGGAGCTGCCTGCCTCCAGTTCTACTCGTCTCTCATTGATCTTCTTGGTAACTACTCATTCCATTGCTACCATCATCTGTATATGCTGTTCATGATGATAGTTACCTTGATAATCGTTTAATTTTTTCAAAATTTTCAAACAACTTGATTGTATATTGACAACTGATTTGGTTATTGTTACATAAACAGAACAATATCAATAAAAGAAACACGATAAAATATTTGGGCTGACCATAGTAACAATAGAACAATATTACTTCTACGACATTGTTTATAAATAAAAACAATTTCACCTCACCACCAATCAAACTACAACTTTAAGGTCGTTGCGCTCCGGAAGCGGAAGCCATAAAAGCAGGCCGCAGTGATTCATTGAGAGCACGTGCTATCTTGAGGAGTTTAGTATCTTTGGATGATCTCGAAGGAGCTCTTGAAATCAGATTTATACTTCCGGTTGGAAACATTCAGCCGGTGGGTAGTTTAAATGGATGGATGGATGGATGGATGAATGAATGGGTGGATGGATAGATGAATGGGTGGATAGGTGGGTGGATGGAATGAATAGATGGGTGAAAGAATGTGTGATTGATTGAACAGAAGAATTATTATTACATACACTGCCATTAAAAAATTTTCCAGGGCACCACATCCGGCATGTTGGGCACAAACGCAAACACCCTCAACAGCAATGATCCAAATGGAGAAGAGAACCAACCACCTCCTCCCCCGCCACTTCCATCCGGCCTGTCCCCGCCCCACAAAACTGCTGTCGTTTTGTTCCTGGAACGAGTCTACGGCATCCAGGATCAAAGGACCTTCTTCCGACTTCTTGAAAATGGCTTCCTACCGGATCTGAGAGCTGCCACTACACTCGAAGATGTTGGTGCTTCTGGGGCGGAGTTAATAAATAACATAACAAACTGTTACGATATCCAATGATATTTCAATTGCACGCCAAATTTGAATCCTTACAATTTTTCTAATTTAATCACAATGCATCTCTTTCTTGGTTGTTTTTCATAGAGTTGAATGTATTTACATTTTAGTGATTTGTCGTTATTTGTAGCACTACCGTTAAACAATCGTGAAACATTAAGGCTCAGGAGGGCGATGGAGACATGGCGCTTGCATTGAATCGCTACCTGTGCAATGCAGTCCTTCCACTACTGACCAACAACTCCCACTTCTTCCACGATGCCGACCACGTCTGCCACCTCCTCGATCAAACCCTCCACACCGTCTATAAACTGAGCAAGTGCAAGTCCCTCACCAAGAACCAAAGAGATACCGTATCGGACTTCCTAGTGGCTCTGACCGGGTACGATCCTATCTAGATTGTTCTCGTGTTTTTTTTACTGTTTCAAGAATGGTTTTGCAAGTTTGTGAAAATTGATTATGTTTAAACTTCGTCAGCTACAGCATTGATGATAAAATGTTTAAGAATAATTACGATGAAGTAAAGTGATGATGATGACGTCAACAATGATTGCGGCGACCTTGATTTTCACAGAGTTTTAATCAGTTCTAAATCTTGCTAAAAATTGAATTCTACTAACTCTAACCTCACCCCCAACTCAGACAAATGAGGCCACCAATGATGACCAGCCTGCTGAGGAAGTTGGTGGTCGATGTTCCCGCCCTCACCGAGAACACCATCACACCTCTCAGGGTTTGTTGGCTGATTGGTTGGTTGGTTGCTTAGTGGATTGCTGATTGGCTAATTGGTTGCTTAGTGGATTGCCGATTAGTTGGCTAGTTGTTTAGTGGGTTGCTGATTGGTTGGTCAGTTGTTTAGTGCATTGCTGTTAAACTGACTCATTAAACGTTTTAATTAAATATGTCAACTGGATGGTTGTTTTGGTAACTAAATGACTAATTAATTTATATTGATGTGCACCATTTCTAACAAACTTTTTATCGAATCGTTACTTTTTGTTTTGTTGTTTTATTTAAAACCACTGTTGAATTTTTTAATTATCTGTTTTTTATTAATCAATCTTATACTCAGCTATTTAATTTATCATACACACACGCGCGCGCACACACACACACACACACACGCACACACTGACACAAACAAACAAACATAGGTGCTGGTGAACCACTACGAGCGATGTGGTGGCTACTACGGAAGTGGAGGTTGGGGCTCGCACGGGTCTGCCACAGAGGAGGAGAAGAGGTTGACGATGATGCTCTTCAGTGGAATATTTGACTCTTTGGCCAAGAGGGTAGAGTATTTTATGCATTTTTTACGAATTGTATTCCTTTATTTTGCAATCTAGCGATATTTTTCTAAATGGATGCACAGATGATTCTAACAGAAGTAACATATAAATATTTGAGATTCTTAATAGAAATAATATATTCTTCATATTCACCCTTTGCCAGGGTTACGACCCAGAATTGTTTTCCAAAGCCCTTCCATGCCTCTCTGCTATTGGCTGCGCGTTGTCCCCTGACTACAGTCTAGACAACCAAGATGATGGCTTCTATAAGCAGTGCATGGCCGAGGCTGAATGGTCTTATGTACCCCAACCTGCCGATATTTCCAAGTATGTGTGACTTTGTGTTAGTGTGGACGCTTGTTTGATCGAGCATTTGATTGTATTTTAATTGCGTTTGTGTGTGTGTGTGCGTGCGTGCGTGTGTGTGTGTATGTGTGTGTGTGTGTGTGTGTGTGTGTGTGTGTGTGTGTGTGTGTGTGTGTGTGTGTGTGTGTGTGTGTGTGTGTGTGTGTGTGTGTGTGTGTGTGTGTGTGTGTGTGAAAATGACGATTAAAATGATTCCGATGATGATGAATGATCATGCAAACGATGATTATAACATGATAACCAAAGATGGAAATACTTGTTTTCACGTTATTGTGCTGTTTGTGAATAGCAATTAACATAATTTTTTTGAATATTCATGCAAGGATTCCTTTGAATGAGCAATTGTCACGTATTGCCATCGACTTTGCCGAGCACTACCACGACTCATGGGCCATGACCAAGGCATAAATGAATATTAATTAGATTTAATTTGCATATTTTATTCAATTAATATTATATGAATTTTAATTAAATCTAATTTGCATATTCCATTCAATTGATAAATTATCGTAAAGTTAATTAATTTTTCTGTACCCGTTAGCGGTAATCTAGGTAATTCATATTTTTAACATATTTTTAATTTTTCCACAAAAGATTGATTCTGGTTGGACGTTTGGTACAAATTATGACGAGGAACTCAAACAACATCCAAATCTCAAAAGCTTTCAACTGCTCAACAACACCGTTAGCCTCTCATATTGTTTCTCATCATCTCACGTAGATTCTAATTTGAAATTTTTATTGCTAAAATTTTATGCTAAACTTTATAAACTGCGTGACAGGATGACAACAAAAACGAACATCTCAAATTCAAAAAAACAAGCACACTTACTAGTTTTTGAATGAAAAGTTAAAAACAAAATAAAAAGGACAAATCGAGGTATTTGAGTCCAATCGAGTCGTCGTTGAAAGCCATGGTGGCGTGGGGCTGGACCGTCGAGTTGGACCCCTCGAGATCGGCCAGTAAGGCGCAGATCAAAAAGAAGCAGTCCAAATTATCACTGGTTAGATTGCTGGGAACGTTTCAAACTTTTTCATAAATTTTAGGCGTTTTGCTGTTCGCAAATTTGAATTGCTTACTAACTGACTCGTTACTAACAACATAATTAGAATTCATTTTTATACAACATGTGATTACACGTTTTTTTTTGCAATCCATGACATCGTTGCAGGGCGACTACACCCCCAGACCAGCTGACCTTCGCAGCATAACCCTGACCCGAGGAATGTTGGAGATGGCCGAACGTCTGGCGGACAACGCCCACGACGTTTGGGCGGTCAAGAAGAAAGTTGAACTGGACAAATTAGGTACCGCAAAGTGCAGTGTAGTAGTTGATTGTTGAATGAGTGACTGTTTAATGAGTTTTCTAACTGATTTAATTTTATTCCTGAATTATATATTTAATAAAAAAATTTAGCTGTAAAAAACATTAAAAATTCTTTCTTTTTTTTCACTTTTTATAACTTATTGAAATTTTTTTTGTCAATAACACTTGTTATTTCTATCACAAAACCTAATCAGTAAATTATAAAACCCGACGTAGGTGGAGCCATCAACCCACAATTCATCCCCTACAGCATGCTGACGGACAAGGAGAAGAAGGAGAACAGGGAGAGAGCACAAGAGCTCATGAGATACATGCAGATGTGTGGTTACAGAATCATTAGGTAGGTGGTTACCATGGTGGTGGTGGTGGTGGTGGTGGTGGTGGTGGTGGTGGTGGTGGTGGTGGTGGTGGTGGTGGTGGTGGTGGTGGTGGTAGTAGTAGTGTTGAAAGTCATACTAAGTTCAATGAAGATGTTGATAATATCATGACTATTTTTAAGTCTCCAATATCATCGCAACCGTCGACTTGATTGGTTTTTCAATTTTTTATCTGAGTTGAAATTGTTTTCAAATCATCAAATCATCATTCATCACCACGAAAAACTTGATCATCATCATCACCACCCCATGACTCATCGTCATCATCGTCATCACAAAATCTTCTGGCACCCAGTAACGAGGTAGCGAGGACTCGTAAGGATACGAACATTCGTCAGAACAAGGGGAGTGAGAGTGGTATCGACACGTCTGGAACTGAGAAGAGGTCATACAAGTTACAAACACTTACACAAACAAATACGCACACAAACACGCACACTCATAATCGCACGTACGCAGAAGTATACAAAAAATAAAATAAAAAATATTTGAGCGTATGCACCGATCACAATAGTTTTATAATAGATAAAATTGTACATGCACATGTACACACACGCTTTTTATACAGTTTTATTTAAAATACTATCACAATTGGAGTTTCTCCATTTCTCCTCATTACGCGTTTCATGCCAAAACAGATTTGCATACAGCCTGGTGGAAAAACTTCTGGAGTACGTCGACAAGGCAGCCTACAACATGAAGAACATGAAGCCGTCAGCGAGATTCAGTAGGAGGCACAGCTTCTCCATGTCGAACGAGGACATCAAGTTTTTTGGTAAGGTGGTTCTGCCGCTGGTGGAGCGCTACTTCAGAGCACACAAGTCCTACTTCATCACGAACAACAACATGCAACAATCTTCTGGCATGGCTACAGGCAAAGAGAAAGAGATGACTGCCAGGTTGGCTGGCCGAATAGCACATTTTACGATTTGTTACTTGACTGAATTAATATTGAAAAATAATTTATACTGTTTGCTAATTGCTTAAGCAAATGATTCACCTCTAAGAAACTGCAAGCATTGTTTTACTCATCAGTTTATTCTCCAAACTGGCTCTGCTGTTACGTCAGCGCATCTCGGCATTCGGACATGATGTTCAGATCTCAGTCAGGTGTCTTCAAACGCTCGTGCAAGCCATCGATGCCAGGTCGGTAGCATTTAATATGATGTCTGAGTTGTTGTAGCTATAATGATAATGTATATGATGAATATGATGATAGTATTATTTTTCTCTGGTTGCAAAAAAAAACAAATTGATAACAATACACAAATTTGTCATCACATCCAACTCTAACAAGATCATTCCCTCATCATCACGTCATCATCACGTCATCATTATGTAATCATTACGTCATCATCAGAGCCATTGTGAAGAGCAGTCCTGAAATAGTTCGATCCTCCATACTTCCCTTCTTCACATTCGCTGCAGACGACTTGGCTCAAATCGTGTCCAATCTGAAAGCGGGAAGATTCAGTCACGTGAAAGGTTGGTGCTGATTGGTTGCCGCAAAAATGATTGTAATAAATATGCCACGATTTTTACGACAACATACATCTTATCCGTTAATGTGCCAACTTATAAAACAACGTCCTACCTCGGGGAACCGGGTCTCTGGACGCAAAACGAAGATTGATTTATTGATTGCCAACTATTTAAATTTTTTTTTGATGTTTCATCATAAATTTTAAATTGTTATTATCGAAATTCGCCAAATGTCGACATTAAATATTTTGAAGCATCAACTCTGAGGACGATAATAATAACGTGGCCCTGAATTACAATTGCCTACAAAATTCACTCGCACACATTTATTTCATAACAAAAAACAACAACATAAACACAATAGCTACCCCGACACCAGCATATCACGACACTAACATAACACGACAACAACAATACCAGGCACAATAACTCGCGGGGCAACCAGCTTGAACTACGTGCACATGGTTCTTCTCCCTGTCCTCACCTCAATGTTTGACCATCTGGGCAGGAATGGATTTGGGGCTGATTTGTTGGGTGAGTTGGCAACAAACAAACAGACAAACAAATTTGAACAAACGAGCACACACCATCACAGACAAACAAACTTAAACATTCAGATACCTAGACAAACACACAAACAAACAGACACACGCATACGCTAACAACCAAACTTCCTCCTCCAACAGTCGGTGAAGAACAACTATGTTGCTACAAAATCCTCAACGCTCTCTACACGCTTGGCACCCACAGTTCAACTTTTGTTCAAAGGTTAATATCATTTCAGTAAATTATCATAATAACACTTACAGGCAGTAACTTGACACGATTGTAAAAAGTAGAAGAGCCTCTTTATCTACCATGCGCAAAAATTGCGTGGTTTTTCAATTCACGTGTATTAAACTATGTTGCATACATCATAGTCTAAAATTTTGAGTGAAGAATGATTTTATATACAAACCAACGTTGATGATTGAAGAATGATGGTTATTGGTTATAACTAAAGATACATTTATTTTTTATCACGCGGATTTTTTTTTCTCTTCAAGGGAATCAATAACGTCTGAACTTACGAGGTATGTGCGTTTCATTTTATTCTCATGCTTTTGTGTAATTTGATTTTTCTAGAACAAACCACGTCACGAAACATTCAACCTCATCGTGCAATTTTAATGATAACGAAATCATAAACATTCCCATCATTGCCATTTTCCCATTACCACACCCCATCATTTCTAGATCATCATCATCGCCACATAACCACCGCCACACCACGTCACCACAATCCACAGACATCGTTCTGCACTTGGTGAATGTGTGGCTTCGTTTGCAAGCACCTTCCCTGTGGCTTTCCTGGAGCCAAAACTCAACAAATTCAACAAGAATTCCATTGTGTTTGGCATTGAAGAAGATAGGATTGCCACTCACTCATTAGAGGCCAAAGGTTCTTTTCTGTTTATTTTATTTTTATTTTATTATTGCTTTTTATTGATGGGGATATAAGCGGTAATATTATTTTATTATTTCTCTCATTATGGATGTCAACAGTAGTTACTTTACTTTTTTATTATTTGCTACTAATGGTGACTAGATTGTTTCTCTGTTAACATTATTTGTCGTCTTTCTCTCTCTCTTTTTTTGTCTGTTTGTCTGCCCGCTTTTCTATATGTCTGTCTGTTTTTAAACGTGTCTGTTTGTCTGTCTATCTAAATGTTTATTTTTTAATGTTTTTCTCATATTTTTGGACGTATTTCGTCTCATTCTCGCAACTAAACAGAAGTCTTAGACGAAGTGGCCATCAACGTGCTCCCTCTGGAGAAGATAGTGAGCGAGATAGAGGGCCTGGCAGAATCGGGGGGCAAGTACAACGAAGCCCCACACGTCATTGAGGTCACCCTACCTATGTTGTGCAGGTGTGTGTTTGTTGTGTGTGTATGCTGGTCTGTCTGTAGAGGTGAGAATGATCGCAAAATTGGTGAAAATGGTGATGTGATTTTGATGATGATGTTGGGAAAATTATGATAGAAATGATGAAATATAAACCTGCAGTTACCTCCCGTTCTGGTGGTCGCAAGGACCTGACAACACCGAACCAAAGTATTTCATTGATTCCAACTACAATCTTTGTTTCATAACAAATTTTCACATGATAATTTTCCTCACATCGTAAAATATTTCTTTCCCTACTCACCACACATTCTTTCCTTCCGCCACTTAACTCCACGACAGTCAAGTCCAGGTGACCACGGTGACAGCTGATCTGATGAACAACGTGCTCGGGAACGTCTTGAAACTCGTTAAAAACAACATCGGAACGTTGAATGCACCCTGGATGAACAAAATTGCATGTATGTCGATTGAGATGATGATGGGGTGTTGGTTGACATGTTGATTGGCATGTTGATTGGCATGTTGGTTGGCATGTTGGTTGGCATGTTGATTGACATGTTGGTTGGCCTGCTGATTGGCATGTTGATTGACATGTTGATTAACATGTTGGTTGGCATGTTGATTGGACTGCCGTTTTCTACGTTCTTTGTGTTCGAGTTTGGGTTGCAGTTTGGTTGATGAATTAATAGAGTTGTTGATTGTCATTATAGTTGTCGCTACATCCTTTCATCGTCCTCCTCATTGTGTGCACAATCATCATCATCACAGCACGCACCCAGCCGATCATCGTGAACGCGACGACGGCCATGTTGAAGGATCAGATACTCCCAGTAGCCATCAAGATCCGCGAACAGGCACGAAACCTGGAGAAAGAGGAGGAAGAATATCTGGCGGAAGTGAGGAGGATGCAGCACAAAAAAGATGGCGGAGAAATTGAATCGGAAGTGCCAGAAGTTAGAAAATTTTTCAGTTGATCTTTTGTTTTTATAATTTTTGTTGTTGTTTGTTCAGTAGATGCCCATTGTTGATGATTTATTTGTTGTTTATGTAACTCTAGATTAACTTAAAACGAGCAGATGCAAGATGTAAATTATTTTCGCAGATCGATGATTGATCGCGTAAATGTTTGCCATTGATACTTACGCATGTGCAGATTGCAAACAAATAAAGCAGCGTTGTTGAACTCGTGAGTAAAGTTTTATACCTTTCCACCAATTAACCGACTAGAAATACCAGATACTGGTTCGAGACATGTACGCTTTTTACCCACTCCTCATCAAATACGTCGACCTGCACAGGTCAAACTGGCTGAAGTGTCCTAACTCAGATGCTGAACACTTGTACCTCTGCGTGGCTGATGTCTTTAATCTTGGAACCAAGTCGCACGTACGTTCCTATGTTGTGCGTTGCCTGCTGTGTGTGTTGCGCTGTTGTTTTATTATTTTTTTTGTTTCTTATTTTTTTCTGATCGATTGAGTTTATTTTGTTTTTTTTTTATTCTGATTCTTTTAGTGTTCGAGAGAAAATGGTTACTAATTTTTAAAACTCACAATAGTTAAATTATTAACGGTAACAACACTAAAAAATATTACGAAACCGAATGGGAAAAACTGGAAATTGAATGAAACGAAACCACCACTAACGAACAACGCAGATCTTTAAGAAAGAAGAGCAAAACTTTGTCTTCAGCAATGAGATCGACAACATGGCCCTCATACGACCCAGCCAGGACAAACACTCTGCTTCCGGAGCCACCATGGTCGATGGCGGCAAGATGGACCAGCCCAAAACTAAGGTTAAAAGTAAAATAAATTATAATGGATAATGAAGAAAGATTACAAAGTTGACAGCACCAAACAAACCAAACCATTTAATCTATAAAGAACTTTAATAACTTCACAACAACGCGTAACACTCATTAATGATTATGTGACATTTTTGTCATCATCATGTAATTTTTATTTAATCATGTAAAATTTTATTTAATCGCCAGGGCAGGAAAAGAGTGCCAAAAAAGATGGAAGTGTCGGCAAGTTTGAACGTGGCATGCCTCAAGAGACTGCTTCCCATTGGCTTGAACATGTTCGGAGGCAAGGAACAGGAGCTGGTGCAGCAGGCTAAGCAAAAATTAGTCGATGTCAGTTGTCTTTCTCTTTCATTTCATGTTTTTTTCTCTCTCTTTTTTGTTTTTTTCTCTCTCTGTCTGTCTTTCTCTCTCTCTCTTTTTTTCTTTCACTCTCTTTGATAACAATGATTTACATGATTCAAATGATTTTAATGATTTTAAATGATTTACATGATTTATATGATGATTTTGTTGACAGCATTCTCAAAATCCAGAACATGTTGAAGGCCTGCACGTATGTTTTTCAGATGACATAAAGTTTAATCATTTTATAATTTAGTCGGTAATTTGGTTCATTCATTTTTATAAATTCATTTATTCAGACAATTAGTGCATTCGATTGTCAACTAATTAATTTTTTACTCATTTTTTGTGTTAACATTAGAGGAATCATACATTTGAGTGCAAATCTTGTTTTAAATTTTAGATTTCATCTTTAAAAATTAAATTATTGTTTTTTAATGAATAGAGAGACATTGAGGCCGATGTGGAAGAATTTTTAAGAGTGAACTTTCACACAGAAGAGAAGGTTGTTTGTACATATTCACATGAACCCACATGACTCCTACATGCACGCTGATAAAACTTTTCTACAAACTACATTTATAAATAAGATCACGTGCTTGCAAACACGTAGAAATTAACTTCCGTTCTAACAAAGAAAGTACTTTCGAATCAAAACAAATGCACAAACAGGCGAATATACAACTAAAAACAACCAAAACAAACATTTATACACAAAAACAGGCATTCAAACACAAACAAACACACCCAAAAATGCACATACACACAAACGAACAAACAAACAAACAACCAGGCAAAAGAAGACGACGACGCCCATCAGTGGCAGAACGCCCTCTACAAGAAGATGAGCCACAAGAACGTTGATAGCAACAAGCAGCTGACCACCGACCACGTGATCGCTCGGATGCTGGCCATGGCAAAAGTTCTCCATGGTCTTCATCTGGTTTGTTGTAGTCGTTCAGTTAATCCATGATAATGATGACGAGGGTGATGGTGAGGATGTTGGTGATGATGACCACGTTGATGATGGTGATGATGACTACGATGATGATGATATCATTATTGCTGTTGGTGACATCATTATTGCTCTTTGAATTATCAATCTTGTTGATGTCATATTTTGTAGTTGGCGAAAACGTTGATGGCGTTTATAACTGAAAACAATCTCCACTAACGTCATCATCATCATCATCATTATCGTCATCATCATGTTATTCATCGTCATCATTCTCATCATCATCATCATCATTTTCATCATCATCATCATCATGTTATTCGTCGTTATCATTCTTGTCATCATCATCATTATCATCATCATCATCATCATCATATTATTCACCGTCATCATTATCACAACGGCAACACCATCACTTGCATCATCATCATCACCATCATCGTCGTCGTCACCACAACCACACTGACGACAGGTTGAACACCCGGTGACAGATGTTGAGACGCAGTGGAAGAAGGCGGTGTCTCTGCAGAGGAAGAGAGCAGTGATGGCCTGCTTCCGCATGGTGCCTCTCTACAACCTTTCTAGGTCTTCTCAATGTTTTTTTTTTATTTAATTTAATTTTATTCATTTAATTTCTTTTATTCTCCCTGAGCAAGGCTTGTTGGGGTCGATTAATTGATTAGTTGCCTATTTTTTAATCACCTTGTTTTTAGTTTTAATTGATTAGTCATTTAATTAATTAATCATCTGATTTATTTTTAATTATTTCGTTGATTAATTACGTAATTTATTTATGATTTTAATTGATTTGTTGGTGTAGATTTTTTTGTATATTTGTATTTTTTTTCGTCTGTTCGTTCAATCTCTCACTCGTCCTATTGATAATATCTATAATACTATCAATATAGACTACAAAATTATTATCAATAATATAAATAATAATATATTTGATAATTTAAATAATAATATATTTGATAATTTAAATAATAATGAATTTGATAATATAAATAATAATATATTTGATAATATAAATAATAATATATTTGATAATATAAATAATAATATATTTGATAATTTAGATAATAATATATATGATAATATAAATAATAATATAACTAATAAAAAAAATAATAATAATAATCATGATGAGCAGGCATCGGGCCATCAACTTATTCTTGCGGTCCTACAAAGAACAGTGGTTGGACAGTGAGCCACCAGGGCATAGTCGGCTGGTTGAGGATATAACCGTTAGTCTCCCGTGTTATAGTGAATTATGAAAAAAATTATTCTTTAAGAATTATTGTAATATAATTATTTATTATAATAATCGTTGTAATTATTTGTTTTAATTATTGTTATAATTATTTGTTATAATTATTGTTATAATTATTTGTTATAATCATTGTTGT